GCTGTGATATTTTAGCACGTAGCGCCATCTATTAGAATAAACATTCACTAAACTTTTAAAATTTTCCGGTCAACGTTTCCAATTTTTCTTTCCGTAAAAACCTTTTCGCACTATTACAATCATTAAAAAAAAAGTAATGTGCCAAATCGGTCCAGCCGTTCTCAAGTGATGTGCTTACCAAGAAACAGCAATTAATTTTTATATAAATAGATTATACGTTTAAAGTAGGCGTGCTACTTTAGTACGGCAATTAGTGTCGTTTTCGGGCTGGGGGCCAAGGCTAAAGCATGTTTCATGCTAAAATACATAGTTTTCAACTAAAAATATGATAATCTATAATTTTTTTTAAAAACAAGGTTGTAGGTATGGTAATAATTATTATGGTATGTATAACAACCCTGTTCAAAACTCAGACTGATACAGTGATATTACGAACTATTCTATGAATAAAATTTTTTTTATAAAAAACATTGAAATCTTATTTGACACTTCATTTGGTATAAATTTACACGCTATAAATCTATTAAAGCACCGTTCTTAGTTCTGACGTTCATAATCAAATTAAATAAGTCACTAGACCTCAGTAAAAAAAAAAAAATTAGTTTTAAAATTAAAAAATTTTTATTTTGTACTTGGAAAGATTACAACACCCAAAACGGTACCCTGGCTACGCCACCGAGTAGTTTTACGATAAAAGTATTCTAATATTACACTTGCCACTAGCAAGCTTGAACAAATTTTTTTTCCAAAGTATTTTCCTTATGGAGGATACGGCGGGGGTCTAAGAAGGGGGAGCCCCCAACTAGTGTAAAGTTTCTAGAAAATTAGAATGAATTAAAACTTATCTTATAATTAATATTTAACCCCTTCATGCATGACTTTTTATTTTTTTCCCAAAAACATTGTACTGATTCTAAAATATATCAGGATTATGGGAAAAGTATTAAAAAAATTATTTGAGCACAGCTTCCCTTTAATTCTCCTCAAAGTTTAATTCGTGCCTTATATGGCACAACGCGCACCAAATGTATGTTTGTGCCACTTATGGCCATCATGCATTAAAAAACACAATTTTTGTTTGTGCCATATCTGGAACAATATGCACTCAAAACAAATGTTGTCATAATTGGTATTAATTTTTTTTTATTACTGACATTTATTTGTGATATATATTTTATAAGATAATTAAAAAACATGATTTGTGTATTTATAATTTTTTTTTCTTAATAATGTAAGTAACAAATTATAATAACTTTTTATGCTTGTTGTCCCATATTGGGCACACAATAAGTTTTTGTTGTATTTCAAAAACTATTATACTTAAAAAACTGTTCTTACTTTTAAAATATTCTCCACAAAATTCCCTACAAGGTAGTAATTTTTTTTTTTTAAATTCGGTAGTTTCAATTTTTTGTTATAATAGCATGAAAGAAATAGTTTTTACCCGACGCGGTGATAATATTTTCAGTTGTTTATTGTTCATCTATAATTCACAATTTTAACGCTAGATGAAGGTACTTTACATCAAAATGGGTCAGTTTTTTGTGCCAAATTCGGCCATCTATGCAGTTATGTCATAAATTTATTTCCAAAGCAACAAATAACAAAAAACTAATTTGTGCCATATACGGCACAACATGCACGAAGGGGTTAAATCAAACTTACATTAGATACTTTTCATAAAAAATTATTTCATTTTATGTTTTATTTCCTCTTAATACCTAACCTATCAAAAGTAAAACACGTACATCTATACAAAATAAAGAAGCTTTATACCTAATAATTAAATTAACATAGTAAAATGTTATGAACAATTGGGGAAAATAGCTTCATATATATATATATATATATATATATATATATATATATAGGTATTGTCTTACTATTGTTGAATATACTTACACATCAACGAATAGACATTATGATTTGTCTAACAGTGGATGTCTTGAGGCATTAAAAAAAATACACCTATTTCTGATATACACGTGTAGAGGGTAGACATTATATAGACCTAAAAATAGATGAATAGATGTGTTATGTACGTCAAATAGATCATAAATGTTTGCTGGGTGAGTTCATATCTAAGTAAGCATGATTTTTTATATGGATTCTATTAATATTTATTGTTTTAGAAGTATCATAATATAGCGATTCAGTAAAATAATTACTCGTTTGAAATAATCCTTTGACAAAGCTCTAGACAAAACACTAAAAATCACAATGTTTAACCACAGTGGTTGGTTAACCCAGTTAATATAGTTAGTCCAAATTTTTTATATTTTTCAACAATATTGTCCCATCCCTCATATGCTAAAACCTTATTAACTTGAAGATTTTTAAATGGTAACTTTTACAATTAGGATAATTTCCTGAAAATTTGTCTGGTCAGAAACCAATTTGGTTGAATTAATTTAAAGGTTGTATTATTTTATTTAAAAAGTATTAGTTTTTAATGACATTTGATTAGTTTTTTAACAAAACCATATTTCTTAAGGCTGTAAGTTGCTGAATTTATGAAATTGTATGTATAATAACGAAGTTGTATGTATTTAAAATAATATATAAATAGTAGGTTTTTGTCCATGAAATATATTAACAATTTTTTTCTAATATATACATAATATTACATTTATTAAAAACCTTTTCAGTATAAGATTCGCCATCATAAAGCCTTCAGGGAAATTGTTTACTTATAAATTTGCTAATGAATGTTTTTGTTCTAAACCCATCATGGGTTTTGCGTACCTATAATTAGGTTAGAAAAACATTTACAAATTGTTTTATGACTGATGCCATGATAATCAGGTAAAACAATTGATTAACAATAATAATAACAATCCACATTGATGTTCTAAAAATTATACACATAAGTTTTACCTTAATCTATGTTTACACGCTATACAGACTAAAGTGCACAGTATACAGAGTGATTTATTTAACACCCTACACCAGTTTTCTCTTAAAATAATTGATATTTTGTAGTTTTTCTTCTTGAAAACATTTTTGTTTATGCTATATTAAAATATCAGAAAATATTCAAATTTTAGTATTTTAGTATTTATCAACTTTTGAAACTTAAATGGTAACATAAATATTTAAAATTTTAATAAATTTTTAAATTAAGAATAATTTGATAAACATTTTATCTGGTCAATAACCAGTTTTGAAAAAATAGTTTTAAATTTATTAAAGTTTTAACTTTTAGAGTAGAGAGTAGAGTTATTTTTATCTGCGTGTATTTCTCAACCGCACACCACCTCTCGTCATTAATTTTTAATTTAAATAACTAAAAATAATTATTCAAAAGTTGTTATCGACCAATCAACATTTTTAGTAGATTTTTTTTAGTTTAAAAATTCAATTAAATATATATGTATGTTACCATTTAAGTTTCAAAAGCTGACAAAGCTCTAGAAAATACTAAAAAAGAAAAAAAATTGGATATTGCTCCTATTATTGTACTACAATTTAAATAAAAATGTTTTCAAAAAGAAACACTACAAAATTGCAATTATTTTAAGAGTGAACTAGTGAAAAGCAATAAAAATCACCCGGTAGTATATTAATACATTTTTTGTTAAGGCTTTATAAAATGTTTATTGATTATTATCTAACTTTTGATCAGTGGCCCTTTTTAAATGTTGGGATCTAAAACAAAGGATGTTATTGGCCTCCCTTGAATGACCCATCTGGAAATAAATTGAAAATATTTTATCGGATGACAGGTGCAAGACACCAAATAATACTTAGTAATCGAAAAAAAAGAGACCCAGGCTTATAGATATTATCATAAAGAATAGGTGGCTTTGGTAGATGTTTTCATTTATGATTTATCACTAAAGACCCTCGCCTCAGCACTGGTCAGTACTCACTACTCAGGTCTCAGTTGGTAAATCGCGCGCAACTGTTGGCCTTTGATTATGATACCTTGTACCACAAAAAAAAAAAAAAAAGATTTATTCAAACAATTTCGTATTTAATATAGCTTATAATTTTTTAATAACGTAATCGTACATGGTTACTATAAAATAAAAGGAAACATAGTTTCTTTTTGAAAACATAATTATAACAATATATAATTTAATGAAAATTAATATTGAGTTTTTAAAATAGGTAATATTTCTTTAAAACAATAGGTAGTTCAACCATGATCATACACTATACAGCTCCTCAAAAGTAGTGAGAGGCGAGTCTAGGCCGTAGAGATGTTAAATTTAAAAAATTCGCTATGATTAGGTTAAATTAAGAATACGTGTCGGTTTTATTTTTCAGTTAATATTTTTGTCGTAAGAATAGGTGAAAGCCGTTTTTTGATAACTAGTAAATTACATAGTATATTCTATATTGTTTACAATACTTTTAAGGTCAGAACTTAGAAAATAATAATTTAAAAACACACCAACAAGCATTTTAAAATAAACTACGACAAAACTAAAAGATTTGTAATAAGACTAAAAACACAGAAATTTAACTCATTACACAATTCAAAATACCGTCGCTTATAATGAATACTGAATCGTGAGATTACCGTCAAAATTAATAATGTCGAAATTGATAAAACAAGTATTGCAGTAAATATATATTTTATAACTGTTTTTGTTAGTTTGATGGTTAGCCTGCAAATAATTAAAATAATAACAATTTATGTGACAGAAACTAATTTTTATTAAAATATATTTTTTTTTATAAATTGAAGTTTGAACCAGGTCAAAATGTCTCCAAACCTTCCTCAGATTCTTTATTTTTTTATTAACATTTAATTAGACCGACAGATTTCTCTAAAGCCCAGAATTCAGAAATCTGAATGAGGAAATTTGCAATGGAAGTGGATATAACCGTGATATAACTTTAATAAACTACATTTTTCACATGTTCGCTATTCTCCTTGTAAAACATTATTCATGGTTCTGGTATGTGCGTCAAAAATATTGTATTATTATTTTTTTCTATTGATAAGCGTTGAAATAGTAACCACGGCTCAACTGATAAGAAACGGCCATGACCGCGATATTACTATATTAGTTTTCATCTTAATATTATTTTATTGTTATTGTTGAACATCGTTAAAAAATTATAAGTCAATGTCCATTGAAGATACTTGTGTAAGTATATAAAATAGTTTAAACACATATACTTCTCTAGTTATTAGGAATGATAATACGTTTTACTTTTTCTTAAAACTTACGTAAAGTACAAAATATAGTCCCTTATTAAATCTATCAAATTTCACACTAATTACAAAGTATAACAAATCTGTTGACGTATTATCATTGTGTATTAATGTTATTAATTTTCATGTAGTAGACATGAATTATATGGATATTTAAATGATTTAAAAGGTTACAGGTTTTTGATCAATATTAAATTAAATTATTTTTAGATATGTTGCCACTTAATTTTTTTAATGTAGCATTAGCTATAGTAACTTGATATTTGTATACCCTTAATTTAATTATTATAGTAAAACATTAAGAACACTGCCTTTTAAACTCAAACGAATGGTTTTATTTTTGTATTTTATTGTCGGAATAATTATATTTTGGCTCCGAAATAAATACATATTTAATTTTTTTCATTAGACTTGACCCTTTTACTAAAAATGAATGCTTTATCTTTTACTTTAAGTTTGGTGATTTAAATGTTATATTTAAGAAGGTATGGATTCCAAAATGAAAACCATTATTTATTTGAGCTTATTACTTTATATAAAATTTAACATAATTACTAATACTATTTTATTAAAAAAGAAAAATTACTCTTGTCTTCTGGATAACAGTATATTAAATAATTATATAATTTATAAGCATTTTGTTAAAATCAAGTGTTATATTTTTTCATAATTTTCAAAAATGATTCAAGTCGTATAATTACAATAACCATAAATAGTTAATGAAAGTTAGTATTTTTTTTACTTCTATAACAAAGTAGATTCAATCTAATATAAATATTAGAAACTCTTCAATCAGTTACCTATAAGGTCCCTTATAATCATCACCTTTAAGGCCCAACACTGCCATCATAAGTTGATGGTTTCTAGATGAATTCACTGTCCAGGTCGGGTTGTCATTCTGTTGCTGGAGAGGGCGGTTGGTGGTTCCTTTTCACCGAACGATTGCTTGCCCGGCAAACGGAGGGCCCGTGACCGGGTGTCAAACTAACGACAGTGAGTGCTAACGCACTGCCGTCTTACCCACTCGGCCACTCTTTCTCCTCCCTTAAAATAAAAATAGTTACAGTCTACTTAAAGCCTAACAGCTAAAATTATAAATAATGAAACATGCTTTAGCCTACTGGCTCCTGATTAGTGATTATTTCTAATCTATAATCTCCTTGTGATTTATGACGATAGTATAATCTTTATTATATGTTCTGGCCAAAACGTTAGCATAACGACGACGACTCGTTATATTATATGTTTAGAGTAGACGCACTACTTTTATGTCGCTATTTTGTGCCGTTTCCAAGCTGTGAGACAAAGGCTTAAGCATTTTCCATGCTAAAATTATTATTATAAATAACAATTGTTTTATTATATTAGTATTAAGTATTATCGACTGGAGTTATTAGCTTATACTCTAGGTGTTGTTGTAGTAAACAATAAGTATATAATATGAATTTATTACTGATTAAAATTGTATTTAATTTATATAAAGTTAAATAAATTAGCTGTTTTTAAAAAATATATTTTTTTTAATTTTCTTCAGTGTTCTAATGCTTTGTAAAGTTGTTTGGGATTTGTAGCACAGTTATTAGGTCTTTTTAGTTGCAGCAGTCAATTATGAGGTGTTTTATTGTAAGGCCTGTTTCACATAATGGCACCATGGCGGCGCAACTTTTCTGGTCGCTCATGCTTCTACAAGTGGCACGGCCAACTTGTTGGAACTTGGTGGCGCTATCGTGTGTAAAAACTTTAAATTAATTGTTCATTTTTTATGGTGGTTCGTGTGAAACAAGCCTAAGAGTTTCACCACAAGTTTAGTATATTTCAAAAATGTTTTTTTTTCATGAGGTGGCTATCTGATAGTCTAGTGTGGCCTATTCGTAACCAGTTAATTATAACTACATCCCTTAGATTCCATGATGTGGGTTTATGCCAATGTCGGGTGTTATAATAAAATCATTTTTTTTTTTTCAAAATAATATCTTTCTAAAAAATGTTATTTACATAAACAATTTTTTACATGAAAAACAAATAATTTCATATTATTTACAAATTTAAAAATTATTAAAAACAATATAACATTAAAAACTTTATACATTATATCATTTGAACATTATACAATTTAATATTAAAAACACAAAAAACAATTATTACTAATTGCATTAAATTATGTCTCTTAAAACAGTCTGTATTTGTAATAAATCACAAGCCACACATAATTTTGTTACCTTTTCAATTCTTTGCAGGCATGTACTGAACCTACTACGGTAGATTTATCTTTATAGCAATGTACAACATCTCTTATCATTCGGTTGTTCCTTTGAGAATGTGCCTTGGTATGTGTCTTGATGTTGATGGTGTAGCTAAATTTTTATTTTGTTTTGGTTAATTGAATTCAAGTATTTCTTCCGATAATGCTTCATGCTCCTGTATGATCTTAAGTTTATTGTGAGGTATGTTTAAATTATTTAGAGTTAGTGCAGTAGTAAATACTGCAGTCCTCAATAAAAGCTCAGTTGCCACTTTGTGGTACCTTCTGATTGACTTATGTATGGGACTGCTATAGCTCAATAGTTGATATGACAAGTCGATACTGATTTTCCCGGCATTGTTATCTATTATAATATTAGTTATTATATATTTTATTCATGATATGAATTCGCATCTTCTTCTTAGTCGCCAACCTCGCTGAACGAACTTTAATCTTCATCAGTGTCTAGTAGCTGTCTAATACTTTCATCAGTGGTTTTTAATCCTGTTGATCCATTCATTTTTACTAAAAATTTCAACTGTATAAAAGTTGTTCCTCTGGCGACCTTATGGCGTGGTATGATGATTGTATGATACTAACGCCATGAGGTCACCGGCAACGGCACTATTATTATTTCATGTTATTAATGTCCAGACCATAACAAATATTTAGGTTCTGGAACAATATTTTTAGACTTATTTGTTCAAACCCTTGGTACGTTTGGTGAAGGTCGACCATATTTTATCGATAGGAGTACAGTAATAAAGAACTGTGCGCCCGCCAGCAACTGTATGGCAATCAACATATTGCTTATGAACCACAATAGTGGTATCGACTATTTCTTTAAAAATCCATATGCCTAATGGTATTTTTTTTAAGTTTAGGGTTTAACTCAAATACATTTAAAAAACGATCTGCAGTTATGAATGACCCTGTTGAATTTTGATATGTCTATAAAATTAATGCTGTATAATAAAAGACAATTTGGTTCTGTGAATATAAAGAGGTGGTTCACTAGAACGTATATTAGAGGTTGAACTTCTTCAGATTGCTCCAGTAGCTAATCTTAATACCAAATGACAATTAAGTAACAAATAATATTATTTAATTTAATTATGATATTATGAGGCTGTATATCCTACAATTTGATTATTTTGCACCTATTTTGATTTGTATGAGTGTGTTACACTACCTAAGTCACATTAGTGGTTAATAACAAAATATTCTACTACTCATTATGTTTATATTATTTGATTTAAATTGATTCGTAAGATTACAATTATACCAACATTTCTGTTCTAGGATATAATATAGATTGACATCTACCACCAAAAAATAACTTTTTTATGGGATCATTTTGACAATAAAAAGAAAAAATTGTATTTCACATCCAAAATGTCAGTTGCTAAAAAAAATACTGAAATCAATCTGTTCTCTAAACCAAAATCTCTTGAGCATGTTTTAATGTGTAATTTTCTTATTCTGTAGAGTTAATAAATAAGTTATTATCTAAATGTTGATTTTAATTATAATTTTCAGAACTATCCATGGAAAATTTTAGATCTTGCAATTGGTATTCAGATGAAAATATACCCAGGTATAACAATGAAGAACGGTGCTATCCACATAATCTTATTTCTAGTAGAAAATATAAAGAAAAAATAAGGATGGCATATAATGATCTAAATAATTGTCATGTTAAACATGCTGTACAATCTGAATACATGATTCGAATGTCCCCAATTGATAAACTCATTGCAGAAAATAAGAAAAAAATGAGTAATTGTTCCTTAGTGGTATGCAATGCTAACTTCCTTAAAGAAAAAGCAAATAGATCAGCTAGAAATAAAGAAGTTAATCAAGCAGAACAGCGCCTTAACAATTTAAGTGATACTCCTGAGATTGATAAATCATTGAGAAACTTAATTTCTAATGAACCAAGTAGGCTTACTCGAAGCACATCTAAAAGAACACCAGATAAAGTCAGTAAAGAGGAGTGTAAAAATAAAAAAAAACTAAGCATACAATCTTCTGATTTTGAAATTGATTTTAGTAATGATGGAGTTGACAAAACTTACTGTGATATTTCTTTAAACATGCTTAGTAAAGATTTTGAAGCAAATGATTTTCATAAAAATGACAGTAATCATGTGGATTTTGATTCTACAAAACAAGATTCTTCCTCAGAAACATTAAATAATTCCACAGACTCTTCAGAAGTACACAATAGATTAAATAATACTCAAACTTCAAATGAAAATTTACTGAGTAAAATAGATAATGACTTTTGCGAACGACCATCACCTGTGAAGTCTCCTGATAAAACCTTACCAGTTTTACGATTAGTTACTCCAAAGCTATTAGTTAAATCGTCTGCTTATCTTACTTTGTCTGAAAACAAACTTTCAAAATTAGAAACACCTTGTGATGTTAAATATTTAAATGATTCTGAAACGCTGATTGATTCAGTACCTAAAAAATATATTGATGAAACTTATTTAAACCGAAAATTGAAAAATGAGTCAACAGCCTCTAGGCAAGAAGAACAATTGAATTTTGATGTTAAGTCATTAATTGATTCAGAAAGTAATATTAAACACAACAAAACAAATGTAAGCCAAATTTTACAAAATGAATCATCAATAACCACGGAAGCTGAAAAATTGAATGAAACTAAAGTACCTATTAATTTAGCATCCAATAATAATATTAATGAAATTAATTTAGGCCAAATTTTGAAAAAACATTCATCAATTTCCAAGCAATCTACTACTACGCCAGAATTGGATAGAAATGCCATTCGGCGAAAAGCTACTTATTTGTCTGCACTAGATTTAGTACCAGCTGATAAAATTCAAAACATAAATAACAGCAATGAAAATAGATTATCACCAAATAAATGCTCAATTCAAACCAAGGTAATATTAAAAATTAACATATTCATATGTTTAATTTTTTTTTTAGTTTTCTTAATATTTGTACGAATATCATTCAATTTTAAAATAAAGGAATATTTTCGTAGCCCTTTTGTCTGTAAAATAAATAACCCTATACCTAGGTAGCGTGTTATTAAAAAATTAAAAATACTAGTTATGTGTACATATTTCAATAACAACTACTAAACTTAAGTTTAATAGTATTAATCAGCTTGTTATATTTCAGGCACCAATAGCAACTGTTGATGATAAATTTGAAGAAGATTCATCCCGATCTAGTTCAGGTAACAACTTTTAAAAGTTGTTAGTAAATTGTATTTTTTTTAAATTTTATATATTTTTTAATTTTAGACAATTTGAGGCGGTCATTTTTATTAGAATATTCAAGTGATAAAAATGATAACCCGAAACATACTGCAGTGTTAGTAAATTTATGTATACCAATAAAAATAATTTTTTTATCTGACCTATAATTTTTAATATTGTGTATATGTTTAGACCTATATTAATACCAGAACGAACGTCTGGATCTTCGTTTCATCCTGGCCGTACTTGCATGCATAAATGTAGCTACTGTCATGGAAAATTCGGATTATTAGATACACCTTGTCATATTGCACAAATAAAGAGTTCAGAAAAACAAATAGCATGTTTAGAGAGTATGTATAATATTACTTGTAATACTTAATTAAATGAATTAAGTACAATTTGTTGTTGTAATGTAACTTACTGCTTTCATAACTAATTTTTGGGTTTGATCATATGTATGGCTTCTGAGTTAAAGCTTACCATCTATTTGAGGACCCTGTATTGCTCAATAGTGAGTTATATCTTCGAATACAAAGTAGTTGTGTGGGATAATTTTATGACCACCAAGTCATGCCAACTCGAAAGAGTGCAGAGAAGTTTTCTTGCGTTTGCAGGGTATTTATTGCTCATATTGCATCCATCTTACGATTATATTCCAGTGCAGGATTGTTTTGAATTACGATTATATTCCTGTGCAGGATTGTTTTGAATTATGTACGCTTACAGAAAGGTGTGCTTATGTAAACTTTTCTTTAAATCTTTTCTGCCCTTGTGTCTAAAATCAAGTTAGGTAATTTCTCACTCACCTTGTTTCCGTTTTATTTTTGTTGTCCCCATGAATTACACACACACTGTAAGAAAACTGACACCTCTACTTCTTTATAGATAATGTTGTAATGTAGTATTTAATCTATTTATGTGACTTTTAGCTTGAAGCTGAGATATATTGTTTTTAGAATGATGTGTTTTTCTATTTTCGTGTTTGAATACATAGTCCCTAAAGCGAAGAACCGATTTATTTATTTAGCAAGCCTATAGATGAGAAATTTTAATAAAACATACTTTTTTATGCCGCAAATTTAAAAAGTTCTCACTTCTTCCTCGTCAAAATCAAGAAAAACTTAGCAAATTTACATATTATTTAATTTTACTGCTCTAAATCTTTGAAAAAAGTTTTATTAGTTCCAAATTTGTGGCAGATATCGTTTAGATAGAGTACTATGGATAAACATTGACAAACCAATTTAATATCAAGCCTTTTCCTCGAGAAGGGTTGTTAACTTTTTATTCATTTTACTTTTTTGAGCGTAGTTTTGGCCTGATGTGATCTGGAGTTGGGCTAAATATAACATATACAATTTTTTTTAAATTACATTTTAAAATTTATCTGAACAAAACATTGTTTTTGTATTATTATGATTGGTTGTAAAAAAATAATTTTTATTTAGATGTTACTCATTTAATTGGACCGGACTCGTGTCTGTGTGATACTTGTTTTCGTACTATTGAAAAACGAAGTGGGAAAAAATCAATACAACAAAGTGGTTGCATTGTTGTGGGTTGTGTGCGACAAGCATCAAATAACTTTAAGTCACAATGGATAGAAAAAGTAAAAAAATTGCTTGGAAGAATTGGAGTAAGTAAATGCGAGAGTTCCATTATACTAAATATTAGATGCTCATTTTTTCTCTTAAAGAAAAATTGTTACCACACAAAATATATAAAACTATTATAGATGCATAGAGATTTATAGATTTTTTTTTTTACGGGCTATGCATGACACCAACTCTTAATTTCTATTTTCAAACTACATTCTGATGTTTAATAAATAAAGCCAATGATAAAGGAGCAAGGAGAGCAAGGAGTTGTATTGTGAAAGAGAGGATACATTATATGTTATAGGTTAAGTTATTTGAAGAGTCACATAGTGTATGTATTCAAATTCCAAGCCAGAGTCAAATGGACTAGAAACGTATAGAAAACATGCATCTTCATTCAATTTGTCTGGAATAATTTGTTACAGAAAATATAGGTATAAGGAATAATAAAAATGTTTTAACTTGTAGAATTAAAAATTTAAAAAAAAACGAATTGTTTTTTAGTTTAATAGTGAAATGTATAAATCGAAACCTATTTACTTAACTAATCTAAATAACTATCATATTTCTTTAACAATTTTTGTTTAATTTTTGAATTTTAGATAGTTTTTCAAGATTGGCAGCAAAAGACAGAACTTCCTATTTGCAGCGTTCATCATGACGATGTACATTATTCTAATAAAATAGTCAAGGTTCTTTCAATGAAAGAGTAATAGAAAATATTTCTTTGTGTAGGTTATGAATGTAAGTCAATGCCAGTTGTGTGGAAATCGTGCGCTACTAAAATTTGAACTAATAAGAGATGAGCGCCAAAGGTTTCAACAAATTCTCGATGAAGATCAAATAGCATTTAAACTTCACCAAGATTTGTTCATTTGCAAACCTTGTCGTGTGTATTTGATTTGGCGTACTACTAAAAATATAGATACTGATGATCGACCTGACTTTATAGTGCTTCGTGATACAGTTATAAAAAGGTAATTACATAATTGTCTGTTTTTTTACAATACTGAAAACATGGCTTTAACAGTTAATGAATGATACATTTTATGTAGTTTACACTTACACTAACTCACTGGGCTACTCTTATAAGCAGAGCTTAAGCCCACTTTTTGAGGGTGGACGGTAGTATACTTTATCAAATGTATTTGTACATAGAAATAAAGTTTGTTTATCTTGTGAGGTATTATTTTTTTATTGATTTTCAAACATAAAAAGATTTATAATATTTTTAGTATATTGTCCTTTAAATATCACTAGCTTGGTTTTATTGAATTTTGTGTATTGGTGTATAATATTATGTTAATTTAACCATGATTTGACTCTATATTTTTAATTATTAACTTACTTTTATTTCAGAATTTGTATGCGAAATGGTTATAAATTCCCTTCATATGTTAAAGACGATAAACCACTACCATCGAAAAGAATACGTGCAAGAAAAATTGCAATGAATCGTGCAGCAGAATCTGTTTCTAAACAACCACCAATTGAGAATAAAAATGATGTAAATAATTGTAAAGAAATACCTGCAGTACCATTAATTTCTTCAAAATCGAAATCTATTAATGATAATCAGAATCCAAAGAAACCAATAGCCACACATGTAGCTTATATTGATGAAGATACATATGAACTTTTCAATGAACTTCAAAAGCCGTATGGTAATTCTATAGATTTAGTAAACCATTTGATTGCTGTAGAGAAAGCTAAAATTGATGGTCATTTAGTATTAGCTGATAATAATGAAAAAGAAATGCAGACAGACGGTTTAAAAAAACAAGAAGAAAATGACAATGAAAGTATAGTAACTGTTTATCCAACCAATAAAGAGCAATCTAAGGTAAATTATGGAAAACGTAAAAATGATAATTCAGATACTAATACCCACTACTGTTCACTAAATGATGTTAAAATGGTATCGAACCCAAAAGTATCTAAACTAATAGCTGTTGATGGTATAAATGCTAAAGAACTAGAAATATGTGATCAAGATGAACAAGAAATTTCCAGAACATTACATTTTTCTAAGTATGTTGAATTACCAAAAAATGATGATGAAAATCCATTAAATGTTAGTGGTGGAAGTAAAGACTTGGTAACCGAAGAAGTATTAGCTAACAAAATTAACCATCTTGCTAAGACCAATAATGATATTGGTAAAACTAATAATTTTAAACCAATGATTATTAATCATTTAAAGAGTACTGGTGCAAGTAGTAATATTGTAAAACGTCTGCCTGATTCTAATCACTCATTAGTGGTTTCTGACAAAATTCCTTTAACAAAAACAATTCCAGTCAACTCTAATGTAAAATTATCTATTATGAAACCAAATAATGATCAGGTATCGGGTACTCAGAAAATGTTTAGAATTATTAATAAGAGTTTAACTTCTGATGAAATTCGTACAACAATTACAAGTTCTACTCCCTCAATGAAAATGGAACAAAATAAAAAATCCTGAGTGACATCTATATTGTACATAGTAATATTAAATGGTCATTTGATCTATTGATTCATTAGATGCAATCACTTTTGTAATTTTTTTGGAATTAAATTAAATGTAACATATTAGTGTAAGTAAGTAATGATAAGGTTATCATTATTGTTTATTATTTAATACTATGGGTAATTATTACTACTTAAATAATATTCTGTTTTTGAAAAAAAATGGAGTATTTAATTATGCCTTTTTTATTTTTTTACAACCTTGTTTACCTTATTTGACTATACATTTGTTTTTAACTTTAGTGGTTTCATTATCATTACTTTCCCTTATTTATTATGTTGACTAGATATTTGAACATATGTACTAATGTAGATGTGTATAAAAAAAAAAAGTAGATATATTTACTTTTTATATAAATACTAAATCATTTTTAGTTTATCTATTTATCCATGATACTAAGATGTTATGGTTTAACTATTAATCATCTATTGACTTTCATTGTAGTGTTTTGCTAGAATATTTGTATTAATATTAAATATATTTTTTTATTAAATACTTTAATAAGTATTGTGATATCTTACTAAAAAAGTACCAGCGCTCTTAAAATTAAATTTAATATTATGTATTTCTGTTATATAAATAACATATCTTTCTATGCTCTATTTAAGTTAATAATACCCAGGTGATTGCATAAAAACTGGCTTTCAGGTGGCTGCCTTGGGTAAACGTAACCTAAATAGAGTATACACTGTAACTTAATTTGCAGTTTTTTAAAAAAAAAGTTGTACTTAATCTCAAATGAAATAATTCAATATTGATTATTTAGCATTTAGTTAAACCTTCATAGTGTTAAGTATATTGTCTCGGAACAATTGGTATTGTAACAATTACCCTTTAGAATAAAATGTGATTTTAATTATAACCTTATATTACTATACATTTGATATTAGAGTAATTTTAGGTGTATTAGGTTAGTGAATGATAAAATAATTATTGATTATAATTGTAATATTTATGTATATTTAAAAATTTTGATGACATTTTTTAAAATTTTATCTTGAATTTGATACCGACATAATTGTAAATAATAACAATACTCTGTCTCAAATGAGATGACTTGTAATCGAGTGTAATGAGCTGTTCATCAATATAGCTGTGTTCATACTACTACGTCTACTCCAATCGGAAATGACCGTAATTGGTTCGCTCGTGCACAGGTAATCATATTTTGGACAGAGTATAGCCCCTTTGTAAGTGTATAATTATTTGTATTATATATAAATTATTTTATACCTACCTTTGTTTTTTTATTACGGATATAATATGTTATGTTCAACTTTCACACTTGGTTTTCTATATTTATAAATAAAATAATATTAATACATTTATTTAATATGATTATATTGACAAAATAATGTTTAAAAAAATGTATTAAAACATTTTGTGATGCAATATGATGAAAATAAATCATAGTAAAACTTAAAAAGTATAGGTACGTAGACAATTTTTCTCGTGGTTAAATTAAGCCACGCAAAGCAGTTTCTATGGGAAACAAATTTTAATTTATCCTATAAAAATGACTGTGATAGTCTAACAAAAAAAGTGACAATCAACAAAGTATCCTCATTACTGTATTAATAAGTATACATTATAATTCAAACTCTAAATTAACATTTTTTCGAAAAATTACCTTTACTTTACTCTTTAAAAATGGCTGGTGTGGCGTCTTCTTAAACTGTAGTGTAAACTTATTTATACAGTAGGTGATAAGAATTCTTTATTGGTTATTATTTCTTGTCACACTATCAGTTATTTCTATAGGAAAAATTATAAATATTTGGTTTAAAAACCCGTTTTGGGGAATCGCTTTTGTTTGGACTACAGACTACAGTGATCGAACAAAACCAAATTTTGTCAGCATAAAGAATTTTCTCGGTAGCATTAACACATTGTATCTTATTAACAAATGAATGTTCGTTTTTTAAAATAATTTTTCTAACTTGTAAAAAGGCACATGATTGAAGTTTTTCTAAAACCATTGATTATACAAGTATGCATAGCCAATGATATAAGCCAAAGACGTATTTAGAAATTTGGCGTTCGGGTGCTAATGTTCTTCTCCCCACAATAATTATTTGACTTTTTCGACCTATCAAACGCGCGGAGCTTACCTTTCGGTAACCACTCGTAATAACAGCGTGTACATTGTTATCCTTTTTGGCGCTTTCTAACTTATTTATTACATTTTTGTTTTTAATGTATTCACTTTTTGTAATCTCTGGCGGAACCAGTTGACATTGACTATTTAATTAATAATGGCCATTAAACAATTTTTAGTCGTTAGGAAAAATTACTCTTCTATACTGGAATATATAAAATAAGACTGACTAAAGAAATAAATGGTTCATTTATGGTTATATATCAACGAAAAATAATTGAATAGGTACTCTCAGTTTGTTAGTTTATATTCACTGATTACATACTCAACATACAAAAATACATTTAAATGACATTTACACTTAAAAGGACTTGCTACCACAAGGAGTTGAACAAAAGTTAGTAAAAAAGAAAGCAGAGTTTAAACATTATGTTATCTTTATAAATTAGTCACAAATATAAAGCAGGTTATTTATTATCCACAAATTACAAAACAATAAATATTTAGATACAATTTACATTATTTTTTTGCGAGCTTTAGAGAAACTATACGTCCATACTCATCTATTATGTCACCACACTCTTAACATTTTGTGATGTCTGATTCAATATTTAATATAGTGATACTGTTTAGTCGTTCATCGGTCATTCTCGACCGCAAGTAACGTTTAATTCGTTTTAATGCACTAAATGATCGCTCTGGAGAGCCGTTTGATGCGGGGCAATATAGATATATTCTCAGAGCAATATTTACCTAAGGGTACTATTGTACATAATATTTTATGTCTTCATATCCTACATTTTTAAGTTTTAGACGCATCTCTATAACTGATTTTGGTAATTGATTCATTTCCAGAAGATGGGCTATGTAAAAATCTGATGCTGCCCCTAAAAAATACCGCCCGGGGCGATGGACCCTTCAGCTAAACACGCCATTGACACAAACACAGTTAATGTTATAATCTTTATGCTGACACAGTTTGGTTTTTGTCCCATAGCGATTTTCCCGAGGACGACCCAGCCTATAACTTAAAAACTATATTTAGAAGCCTAGTGTTAATAGATAAATTTAACTTCATATTTTATTACAGTAAATAATAAAGCTATAAGACAGTATTATTTTGGTTCCTTTTTCTCAATTGTTTTCTTAACAGACAAAAAAAAGTCTTGACTTTATAATAATATTTACTTTATACTTACTAAGAATGAAAGTATGTGAAGTAGTATGCATAGAGTATTTAGAATTTCAAGTAATACCTGATTTTTTTGATGAAATAAAATAAAATATGGGAGGTGGAGTGCACTGTGCAGTTGAGTAATGCGAACAGATAAAAATAATACTACACTCCATTCTTCAAAGTAATGATTTAAGACTGGTTATCGGCAATATTATATACTTACTACCAATATTGGTAAGTATTATTCAGATGTCAGCATTGCTTTCTGTTAAAATGACAATAAGTGTAATTTAAATTTCCTTTATATTTAGTTGTTAAAATTATATTATAAAGTAAAAAAACATATCCTATAGTTTATACATTTTTTAATCGAATACAGGTTTTACAATACTAAATATAGTCCATTTTAGTATTAAAGGTGATACGTTTTTCTAACTTTTTAGACCATAGAGCCTGACAAAATTTGAACTTTTTAGGATGTCCCGATTCAATTCGGTAAAGAGATTCGAGTTTTTTGCCTACTTTTCTAAACTATGTCAAAAACGGATTTTTTTTTTATAAAAAACTGTTCTTTAATATTGAAAATTTCAAATTGAATTACAATAAACTAAATTTTTTTAATAAAAATCTTTGTTTCCTACATACCGAGTGAAGTAGTAGTCAAAGAACTTGAATCTCTTTACAAAATGTAAATCTAATCGTTCTAAGTAGGCATAATTTAGTCAGGATTTTAGGTCAAAAGTTAACCAAAACGGCTTTAACTCGTAGAAAAAATTATATAAAATAAAAATACTCGGCCACATGTAAACTAGGCATTGGATAAATTAACTGGAAAATTAGTTGACATGGTCGAAATGTATTAAAACCGCTTAAAAATATGGCCTATGTACAACTCCTTAAAAATTTCCAGCTCCCAATCCCCTTAAAGCCAATTTATTTTTATTTTCACAACAAAACAATTTGAGTAATAATAATAGCAATTATCTTCAACAGCAATATGATATGCATTTCTATATACTAAAAGTATAATTAAAATAGTAAAAATGAATAATATAATAAAATATAATAATTATAGCGAAGAATATTTGTTTATATATTACTACAGACAATAATAAATATATTTTCTAAATTACATAATATTTTATACACATTGTGAATATGACACATAAGTACATTATCTTATATGTCTTGCTTAAACATTAAAATAATTGGTAATAATAGTGGAATAATAAATAAATAAAATAATCCTAAGATAATTATCAATATTAGACAGTTAATACGATTTTATAATCATAAATAATTTTTATAACTTTGTCGACTTATTTGAAATGTGTAATATAATTTAATATAAATTTGTTTTTATATTATAGAACTATTAAATATATATCAATTATAAATAAAATAAACAACACATCTAAACAATAATTGAGTTAAAAAAATATATGTATAAATAGTTAATGTTAAATAATAGTGTTAATATGTAATGTTAAAGAAAACAGCAGGTGAGTTTACAGAGGTCGTTTATTGAACTGTCTTTGTTTTATTGAGCTTGGTTTCAATGAATTTTAGAAGTGTCAAATTTGGTGGTTGAAAATCGTCAAATTTAGTGTTTCTTACTTGCACAATTTTTTGTGAACGATGACCTCGGCTATTAACACCTACCACAATAATAATAATAATAAAAAAAAAATGATCAGTTTATTTAAATGAAAATGTCATTGTTTTAACTTACTTGAAGCATCTAGTGAATAATAACGAACTATTCCATGTAACAACAATCTATGATAACCTGGTAATGGAGTTGATGTGTAAATACCATTTGGCACAAGTGTGAAATAATGTAGAACTTCAGTTTCCAATTCATTTATGGTTGTCTGAGAAAAAAAAAATTGTAGAAGAGAAATAAAATGTAGTCAATTAAATAAATGTGCTCTGTTTATGATAATACTAAACAAATATATGAGACTTTACAATATAAATTTATGTAATGTAATTATTGTAAATTTCCATTTGCTCTTATCATAGTGTTAAAATAAACCACATTACTATTATGTAATACTACGTAAATAGATACTGTTTCTTACAAATGGTAAACTCTTCTGTTTGAAAAGTGATTTTTGGGACGTTGTCAAGTTATTAAATGCTAAATCCGGTTGAATAATTCTTTTTGTTTTTTTTGTATTTTTTTTTAAATCAATACTTTCTTTTCCTTTTTGTAGTATTAGGTCTTCTTTTCCTTCAATAAACGATTCTTTTAACTAAAAATGTAAAAGGAATCATTGAGTTATTATTATTTTTTGCTATTATTATGACTTATTCATAGAATACTCATTTCATTTAGCTATAAAAATTGTTGTAGTTCACTTTATTAGATATTTTTACATGATATTCTTTAATTAGGATAAAAGATAGATAAAAGTTTAAACAGCCCATTTAGGGCCATTATTGTTACTTCCCAAGGAGGAGATTTCATAATAAATGCACTATAAGGTATGGGTCATTAGTCCGACACTGTTGACTGGTGAGTGGATATTTTTGTTTACTAGACGTTTTCTTGCCTGGTAAACAGAACCGTCCGACTGAGTGTCGAATAAATGAATGTAAGCGCTTACACACTACAGCCCAATATTTGTTATTTTAAAAATTACAGATAGACTACTGCAATGTAATACATTATTTTCATTTACATACAGGTGAATACAATATCTGTATGAGTATACTTTCGTGTCTATGAACTAACCTACCTATGGATACATACGAATATGGTTTTTAAAATGTATTTTTAATTTCTTAAGCCCTCCAAATAAGCAGAGCTTGTGTTATAAGGATAGACATTTGCTTTGTTATGTTATGATAATCAAGCCCACTAAATCTAGCGCACCTAGTTTGACACTATAATGATTAAGTGTTTATTTAGTGTAATTAATTAAATAATAGATACTTACTGCAGGATGACTACAGTTTTTAATTACACTTGAAAATCCATTTTTATTGTCATTATAAAAAATATTATCTTCTGGAGATTGATCATCAGTCAGTGACAAAAGAAATATTTCTAAAAAAGAATACTATAATAAACATATTATTTTAAATTTATTTTCATAAATAAATAATATTGAATTTAAATTTACATTTGTGATATTATAAATTTTTAACAAAAAGAAAACCAGCACAGTAGACAGTCAAGTTATAACAGAGATAGTGCACAGCGAGGTCAGTGTTGTCATAAGTGGTAAGTCATACCGACTGTTGTGCCATGTTAGACTATTAGACGTGAGTTAACAATAATAACTACATGGTTATATTATCATGGCTGTTTATTATCTAACTGACTGACACACCCATTGTTGAAATGGGACAAACATATACTATAAATATAGGTACAATAAGACTTTACTCTATTTAGAAGCGGTCCACGCAGTAAAACAATTTTCGTCGGCGGGTGAGAGGTTTCTCTCACCAAGTCGAGGCGCGCAATGCAATGCTTCGGAACAAAGCCACACCCATGCGCAATCCGGACCGCTCTTATTCTGAATAGAGTATACACATAGCGCCAGAAAAGCTGAATATACAGAGTATTAAATTTATTTTATTTCATTATCCATTTTGGAATGTTAAATCGCAGAACTTAATTTTTTTGGAATAAGCACTTAAAAATGAATTATTGGCATTTTCTTGAAATAATTGATTCGTGGGTTGAGCTTTTCTGGTGCTATGTGTTTCATATATAAACTTGCTACATGAAGAAATTGGTACAACCGTTTAAAAAACATTGTAGGTGCATACACACACACACGAAAAAGAATATGTAAGAATTGTAAAAAAAAATAACTTCTCTGCTTTGCATCAAAACTAAGTTATTATAATAATTGTTTGAACTTTTATTGTTACTAAAATAATAGGATATTTTTTAATTTATTTTTTTGGTTTATGTCTGTAGAGTATATGATTAATGTAATAACAACATATAAATTATACTTATATTGTTTTATACTTGACCAATAATGGAATAAATAAATGAAGGGGTTTCTTCTTCAATAAAACCTTACTCACATATTACATAGGTATTTTACACATAGCAAGTGTCTATATATAAGTATACCATTTTGAGCTCGGTTAGCTTTTCTTCGTCCCATTTGAGATATTTTTTTTTTAAATAATTGCTTGACATGCACATCATTGTGGTAGTATGTCTCATCTTTATTCTGTATACCATAGTTTGGTACAGACTCAATTGTAAAATATGAATCGTCCTCTACGTAATCCAGTATATCTATAGAATCATTTGGGATAATATCCTCTTCACTTTCACTGTCATCACTTATAGTATCAGAAAAATTATCAGAACTGTAAAATAAAAATGTGTACTTTAAATTTACAACTTATATAGATTGAAATATGTTGCATAAAAATAATGTTTGCATGAAAGTAGAGAAAAAAGTTTTAAATTAATTCTGCAGTCTCGGAGAATAAATAAATAAGCAGATTTTTGTGAAATTGAGATAAGTCTCTTGTCCGGGGCATCTCGTGGAAATACATATTGTTTGAAAGTAGGTAGTATAAAAGTCAATGGTTCTTTTAAAGATGCCCCAGGCAAGAGACTTAGCTCAATTTCCCAAAAAAATTACATAAATAGTTATTCTCTAGAACCGTGGGATTATACCCTGAAATTTCTTAAACTACATAAAAAGTTTATAATAAAGTTCATTTTAGTGTAACAATCCTTTCTAACACAGTTATGCAACATTTTGCTGATCCACATAATGTTAGTATTTAATTGAAACCAAAGGATACCTAAAACCTAGTAGACTGTATACAAACATCAATACCTATGATAAAATTTACCCGTTACTAAATAAATGATTGCCCTCTATAAAAAAATATCTTAATTTTGTTAACAAATGTATACAGTTTGACTATTAAAAGGTTAAAATATAATAAATAATAATGTTGGGCTTACTTTTCATCAATTTCAATTGCTATTATTTCATCGCTACAAGAACTTGCAGGTCTTTTAGTAATACCCATATTGGTAAATCTCTGAAAAAGTTTTATCATGAGAAAATATATGTAAGCTAAGGCAATTTTCTTATATGCCATAACATATATTGATTTTAATAATCTATTCAATAGATTAATGGCAAATTTAATAATTATACTTACAAAATAAATACGTATATTTATAGTTGAAAGATGCAATTGTTTTTAAATGATAAATGTAAAACAAAAACAAAATTAAACACAATCTAAATTTGGTAATAAAATAACTTAGTGAAGAAATTAAATTTTTAAGTTGTTTTGAAGGGTAACTTAAGTACAATAAAAACAGTTTAATTGCACAACTATAGAAAACAGATGATACCTATCAGGGCATCCATTTTTATTTGGAGTTTAGTAGCTATGCTCGCAGATGATTCTGTTCTACAGTGCATAAATTAAATTAAAACTAGAGATTTTTATTACAAAATACAATTTCTATTTATTTACTTTTTATTTATTTATTTATGACTTGTGAATTGTGATAAAGACGTCAAAGACAGTTCGGGTTGCTACCACTTTTCCCACATTGCATAAATTACCAAATATGTTTATGACGAGTTTCTTATCAGTGGGCGGAATTTGTACGGATACGCGATACGGACGGCAGGTCACTGAGTGTTAGGCACTCGATCGCTTTGCTCGCTCGGCGCCGTCGCTTCGAATAGCAGGACAAAACTTCTCCCGACAAAGAGCTACTCGACAAAAATTCACTAGCCAAAAAACCGCGTCACAGAAATACCAACGTATACGATGTCAGTAAACATGCAAAATGATTAATGGTTTGTGGTCTACATACATAACAATTAACATACAAATCCGGGGTAATCCGAAGCTAACACGTTCGAAGTTAACATTATGCCTGTTGCTAAATAAATTATAGGTATGTATACATTACAAATTAATCAAAAAATTGATTTCAATCATTTTGTATTAAAAATAATATTTAAAAACATTTTTGAGTTATGTGTTTCAGTAATACCAAATAGTTAAGAATACATTATATAAATACTTTTAAAGGGGAAAATTAATATAATATAAAGTACCTAGGTTAATTTATATATTAGTGATAATAATTTGATAAAGTTTTTAATGAAAAAACTATTGTTTAAAACTTACACACTTTTTTTTTATAAATAATAAATAAATAATTTTGTAAGCGTTTTATAAAATTATTATTTGATACTAATATAATTTATTAAAATAAGTTATCGATACCCAGTAAATATTTTTAAATAGATCTATTCAAGTACTTTATAACTTTGTGAGTTGGTATAATTATTAAAATAAGAATGAAATTTAGTCATACAATAATTGTGGCTTTTTAAAAAATTTGTTTTTGTTCACATATTTTGGAAGTAATAGGCTGACCGTATTAATAATAAGGATACTAATTTTCTAATGTGCCTAAATGGATATATCAGAACCATTGATTATAAATAATATAGTCTATAGATAGCCCACTGGCATGATTTTTTTTGCGCGCGTAAATTGTTGCTGTTGTAGTGTTTTACACTGTTTTTAGTTACAGCCGTTCCTGACTGTATTGCGCCTGCGCGGCAATCGTCAGCGCTCACGGTACCTGCCGCCATAACTAAGAACAGTATAAAGTACTCTACAACCGACAACGGCAACAATTTACGCGCAGTAAAAAAATACATGCCAGTGGGCTATCTAAATTATTTATAATCAATGATCAGAACATTTAATTTGGAGTTTGATGCTGAAACATCTCTAATCCAACTGTAATTTAAATCCTACCTAGAATAATTATTAAACTGGATTCGGTCATTTATTTAAACAAATTGTTTTAATCATTATATGTATAACATTGGCCATAATCCACGCATAACTTTTTCGAATATTTAGATGTGGGTCATTCCATGAAAAATAACCTAATGTGTGTGCGAATGGATTTTCTAAATGATCAAATTTAAAATATAACCTATTAAGATAGTTCTATAAAATTAAAAAAGTTAAGAAAGTTTTTTTTTTGGATTTAGGCGATGCTGTATTCCGTAAATTTTTTGTAAAAACACTTAAGTTCACGATTCCCATTACTTAATAACTAATTATGATATTGTAATGGAACTTTCACTTATTATTTATTTATTTTTTTATTAGCCTTTAATGGGAAATATGATGGCTCGAAAATTACAAAAACTTTCGCTTAATAATTTTAATTTAAGTGTTCTTTTTCATAATATCCTTAAAAAAATAAATTTGAATTTTTTAAGTAGTTAAAAATTGAAAAATAAATTGAAAATATAATCAATTTCATTAATTTTTATATTAATTCAGTCAGTTTCAAAATTTTTATTTTTTAATAAAACACGTCATCATACTATACTTTTATAATTCATAACTTTTTTTAGAAAATTTTTTTTTTATGATTGTGTAATGACTTATTATGATTTAAAGTATACATAAAACAAACACGGAATTCGTTTTTTCCAATGGGAATATATGTTTTTAATTCCATAAATATGTAGACAGAAAATGTTAAAATATTTTAGCGTTTGAGTTTTTATCAATCTGTAGGGCTTCTATAATTTTGTAATGATATTACCCGTGTTATTACAGTTGTCCAAAAAGTGGTCCAATACATTTTATATTTATGGTCGCATGTGTCCCCGGTGTCTGGACACCCCTCTGGCTAAAAAAAAATTATTACACATGACAATTTGGTACTAAATACGAGTATAAAACAAATTAATTCATTTTTTCTTATAATTAAACCACTTATTTAACTATACAAAGACAAAGGCATTCTATAGGTTTTATATAAAACAACATTAAAACTTTCAAACAAATATATTTGTTTAAATTATAATTGGCCTCGGCAGTCGGCACCAACAGTCATTAGCAAAAACCGTAATCGTAGAGACCAACGATGTACTGCAAGAACTAAATAAAAAAAATTACTTCTTGATTTCATAGATTAATATAATTTAGTTTTGTTTTAAAAAAAAAAAATAGAATACAAAGAATATATTATAACCAAAATTTAACTATAATATACTATTTTGTTTAATATTGTGAGTAAAAATCTTTAATTTATAAATCATAATTATTTTAAAAAAAATATTATAAATATTTACTATCATAGTAAGTTTTTAGTGGTCGGCATCGAAGGAGGGGGGTGGGTGGCTTAGATTGAAAGTGAAAAAGAGTCTATACGAAAAACACGAATATATTAATTAGTAATTACGAACACCGGGTAGTACAAAAAAAATGGACACCCTCCTAAATGTTGTTAAAAGAACGCCACTGTATATAATATATATATACAGTGTTTTTGGTTGAGATCACCGTCGATGTATACTTCACACAGCGCGCAAAGCATGAAAAAACTGTAACATTTAATAAATGTATGTTACAGTGTTGAAATTTGCGTAGAGTAAGTAAAAAAGAATATTTAGAGTATGTTTCACACAGATAAACGATATGTAACACAATCGAATTGAGAAAAAATGTAAATATTCTATAAATAATAATTTTATGGGGAATATCACGTCAAAACACGAGGTCATCCAGTTTCAACCCTTGGGATTCTGACGACCAGTTCAAATAACTTTTTGTCGTTTAAGCCTAATGATCATTGGGACTAAAGAAACCACTAATTTTTTGAAAATTTTTCAATAATTTTTAATGTTACCTAAATATTTTTAAATTTAGTGGAATATAAAGATAGACATTTAATATTAAGAGAACAGAGATTAGAGATAGTAACCGAAGTATTTATGTGGATGAATAAAGTGTTAATAATGTTATATCAAACGTGATACACCATTTAGCGTAGTTAAATGATAGGTAAATTAACCAACCACTTGCTGTGGAGTCAACTAAATTATTCGTAATATAATATCGTAGTATACTTGCACGGCGCAGTAGATAGGCAATATAGCGTCTTCGATGCTTTGGGGTTCTAATATTTATGTTATAATAATTATATAAACAAAGTGACAAGGAAATCCTTAGATGTTACTTTTGCATAATATGCTATTGTTTCTATATAAACAGCGTTATTTATTTTTACCAAATTCTTTTATTCAACTTAAGAACGAATTACCTGCTTTTAATAAAGGGTTTAGTATAGGAAATGTTCGTTATAATTTAAATTTATAAAACATAAACAAGTATTCTACTTTGGGTCATCAGAGGCGTTTCATTGATATCACAAATATTATAAATATCATCCCTAATAACTTAAAAATAGTTACTTATGATGATTTAAAATACAAATTATGTTTCTAGTAGCACATACGTAGTAAACAGACATATATTTACCTTTTTAAATGTGCTGCTGTATTTACTACTGTAAGCACCAAATTGAATATAAGTGAATATAAGAATAAGTGCGCGTGGTATTATTTTTAATACAATAATTTTACTATTATTGAAATCGTCTCGTAATTCATATTAAAAGTCGAAAATTTCGTTTATTTTGTTAATGAAAAAAATGTTATTCATTTGACTGCAGTTTAGAAACTAAACTGGTCCAATTAGTTCAAAATGCTTTACAGGAACAAATTTAGTCCTGTAATAAAAATAACTTTTTTTTATGAAAAACTTAATTTAAGCATCACTATTAAATACCGTTACGATTATTGCGCACTGTATTTTGGCCTGAATTAAAATTGTGTATAAATAAATAATACATTATTATAAAGGTAGGTATTACGTACAAAATTACACTAAGAGCGAACTTTAAGGTCGTAGACTTCTTGGTGGCGTGACTAAAACGGTAGTTAAAAAAAAATATACATAATAGCATGAGATACATAAGATATTTAAATAATTTTGTATGTTTTAGGGGCACCGATTTAACTGATTTCAGTTTTGAAAAAATATTTTAATTTTTCTAGAAATACCTTTAAGCAACTTATGGTTGTATAATATACAGTAAAAATATAAATATTTAAATCCTTAATCATAAAAATAATACACCGTATGCGTATACGTATTTCGGTAAGAATGTTGTCATTTTCAGCACTAACGGCAAACTATAGTCTGTTAATTTCTTTACTATTTGGATTCTTTATTACATTTACAAGGTATCGATCGTGGCACAATTTTAAAATTATTTTTAGTTAATTAATAATTTTAGTGCGGAAAATAGCAATTTTTAAAGTTTTTTAATGATTTAATATCATTGAAAACGAAAATTAAAAATGTACTTTGATCGATACATCAAGCCATTGTTGAAAATTCTACATCTGTTTTCAAAACTGTTATCGGATCACTCGTTTAAGAGTACGGTTAAATTTAGAATGAGTTGTTTTAACCAAAAATACGTTGGTTGTAAGTTAAGTAGTAAACGTGTTTCACTAAAATGTTTAAAAAAATATATATATATTATCAAAAATAAATTACGTACTTTAATTGTCAAACATCGTTGATATCATGTATGTAAAAAATAATGTGTTAGTATGTAACTGTTATACTGTATTATTGAAATTGGTACAGTAGGGTTTTTTATCTTCTGTAAAAAGAAATAGAAATCCTTACCGATTGGATTGGGTTACACGTGTTATGCAATTCTCGTGTTTTTTTATTATACAATTTTGTGTTGTTGACGCTACCATATGTTTACACGCTTGTTAATGTGTCGCTGTTATTTACGCGTATACGTTATCCGCCAACTGACTCGTATGGATTATATTTAAAATACTTGTAATTGTTTACATATAACACATAACAATATATCATTAAGCGAATGCGAGTTTCTGTTCATGGAGGCACAAAAGGCGGTAGTATGCAATACAAGTCATTTACCAATATAAATTATTGTGTCGGTATGACGGTGATTCACTAATAGAATGTCTGCACCACTCTTTATGCGCGAGCAGCTGTAAAAGTTGTCGACAAAAACTTTTAAACTTTATTAAAGTGATTTTATAGGTTTTATACCATTTCTTAAACTTCCCTTATTCTGCAGATGTCTTTCCATTGTAATTAATGTAACTGTTGTTAGTCAGCCGATATAACAAAAATAAACATATATATCCACACGGACTGATTGGTCTGACCTTTAATATTGTTAACTTGAAAGACAGTTACAGATACATCAACAGGAGGCATGATATTTTTAAATTAAGTATGTATTTAAAACAAATTAAATAACCTATTCCAAAAGTATAAATAAATGCATTTTTTTGTAAAATATATTAGTAGAGTACCTACACATTATGATCATGTTAAGAAAAATGGGAGAGGGATAGCTGTACTCCTCCCTTAATGATTACTGTTAGTTGCAATGTGTTGTGCAACCCAACTTAAATAACGAGAGAGCAAAACTTTTGTTGTCAAAACCACCTAGTCTCTTATTAAAATAAATAACATTTTAATGTTAAAGTACAAACAAAAGTGGCAGCTTCCCTCATTATAAGAAAATTATCATTTGTTTATTCCTCAAAAAATCAACATGTAATTTCATCATATCGAGTGTAGAGGTGCTACCTCTGTAACTGATAAATGAGGTTGTAAATCCACTAAATCAGTATTACATCGTATTTTTCATTATTACAATCAATTGAACCAGTACATGTGTTTTCCGATTTCGGTTCGTTATAGATCATTGATTTTCTTACTATCTTTTATATCTATACTATAACCTTAACGCGACCGGTTTGTTCACTTTATAGTTTATAAAGCCCCTCATAGTATTCAATGGATAATTAGTATTTTTTTCTATTAATTTGTATGTTTATACCTTGGCAAAATCGTCGTATATCCACAGTTTTTGATTATTTGTTTTTTGTTTAAATGGTAACAAAAACTGCATAATGTGATAAAGTTGAAAGTTGATTACATAAAAGTATCCTCCTTGAAATTGATAAAGGTTCGTTTTTATTCTTAGTTAACTAATGTAAATTAATTAATGTTCTTATCTTCTGAACAATTTACCCATTTTGGATGTACGATTTGTGATTAAGGCAAATCGCCGTATTAACAGTACTGTATAATTATCTCTGTCGAACTGTCAATAACAATATTCAGAGACCAATAATTATTTAGGACGGCCATCGTTTTATGTATTTTACTGCTATATTGTAATCATCGGTACTGGTGAGCAGGATTTAATTTTTTTGGACGAGGAGTTGAAGTTGACGGATGAGGGGAAATTAATCCGAGTACGTATATAGTTTGATCGTTCATACATAGTTCATCGATTATTATTATTACATAACAACTACGGACGTTTATTCATATTGTTATACGACAATCGCACTTGTCACCGTTTAAATAATAACACTAATAATAATTTTAATACCTAATAAAATATAGTTTTTTATTTCTCATATTTTCGATACTACTTGCCCATGTCCTCTGTAAGCTTTTGGGTTAATATACTGTGAAACTTTTCAACCAAAACAACTGTTAACTTTCGTTTATAGCTAATGGAGGGGACAAACAACAAAATCGAGGAAAACGTCTAACGCGAGAGCCCTTGTGCGGTCGGCGATCAAAAAGAAGCAGAAGTAAAAATTAAATAAGGAAATAGACACACAAGTGCGAGAAAACGTGTGTGGGGGCGTCGGTGGTGGCATAGAGGGGAAGTTTTTAAAGGGCGAGGGGGTCTGTGGGTAGTGCGGAATGACAGGGCTGAAAGTGCGTGTGAAGGAAGCGAGGGAGAGACGGCGAGAGAGTATCGATTGGTCAGGCGAAATGCAATTGGGCGGACTTACACGCGTGTGCCGCCGCCGCCGCCGCTGCTCCCGTTGCCGTATAGCGTCGACGGTTGCCGTTATTTTAGCGAGCGACGGCCGATGGCGATGGGACCGCTAAACCCGTGTTCGCTTCTCTCTCGGTAGAGTTGCTGATCGCACGTCCGCGTTTCACATTATACTCGTTTTTTATTTTTATTATTTTATTTTGATAAATATAATTTTTTTTTAATTTTCCCGCTATATTATTTTTGAACGGATCCTATACGTAAACGTTAGTTTTTACGGTTAAACTAGTGATTTTAGTTCACAGCCGCTGTGCCTGTCGGTCTCTGTTTCGCAGCCTTCGGGCATGTTCAATTTCGCTAGTAAAATGTTGAACACCCTGATGGGCGACATGGACCAACCGCAGCAGCAGAACACACCCGGACCCCCTTCTGGTTTCAATGGACAACACCAAAGGAATCTCGGCAATTCCACTACCGGTCATCAGGACTATAACAGACCAAGACAATACGGCATGAACCAAGCGTCGCCGTCTAATACTGGGTATGGCATCAACCCACAGCAGACGAGACAACCGCAACAGCAACAGTCGGCCGTTCAGGCCAAACCGTCATTCTATCAGCAGCCAGCGATTCAACCTTACAAGCGGACGCATCAGCCGCCTCCCATAGCCATGCCAGCAGGTGAGCACGTCTGCATGATAGTTATAAGAACATCGTAATTACTACATAAACCGTTAATTATAGAGTGACCGAAACAACCGTTGTCAGTTGTGGTATAGTTTTCGGTCGGGTTAAAACCGATTTAATTTACCAAAAGCCTGTAGGTCGGCGGCATTTTCTTGAGTGCTCTCTTGACCGCACAAGTGGTCGTTTTTGACAGCTTTATCGGTATAATAATAGTCAATTTGAATAATAATGGATGACGGAGTGTCGAGCATAGTTTATTTTTAAACGACGCGTTCGACAACTTATGAGGAGGGAGGGGATGCAGCAGGGGGTTTCATGAAATAAAGATACGGCAGTAAGGCGGTCGGATATAAGAGCGGTAGATGGTTGCAATAAAGTTGCAGTTTATGAGTTGTTTCCAATTTAAAAATTCTCCGGAGCCTCGTACAAACGTATTAACTCGAATTGTCGCCGTTGTTTACATTTTCGACTATATTATGCCGTTATAGTTTATTTATACATGGTTCTTATCACACGAGTTCTCTGAAAACGCATTACGATTATCTTTTAATATTTGATGTGATCCTTCATGTTTTATTAATTTCCTTGTCAATTAGTCGCGACAAGTCTACACAGTGATCTGTGGACGTGTGTCTTTCAAAAGAACTACTGAATTTTTTATTTTTCCTCTTATACAAGAATGTTGTGTCAGTCGTTTAGAATGTAAAGAAAATAGAAAACGAGACGAGTGGAAAAATTTCGTGTATCATTATTATTTTCTTGTGGTAGCGTGAAACATTAAATGTCGTGAGTGGAAAATTAAAAATATACCCATCGCGCCCTGGTCGCGTTTTGGCCCAGATTGTAGACATAAAATATTGTTTTTCTTTTCCTTTCGAATTACATACATATACACATTATATATGCCCTTTACAATTTTTAAATTACGTTCCAGTATACGCTGCATGCGAGGTAGTATTACACAGTCTACAGCGTGGTTATAGGCGATTGAACAAATAAACAGAATTCATCGAATAGTTACAATAAAGGCTACCGACAAATGTACTTCGCAGGAATTTAAAGAACAAATTAAATTTGTATGATTTTGCCAACAAAATCACTTTAAACACGACGGAGTTGTCAAAAAAAAAACTGTAGTTCTCTAAACCAACATTTGCCCTTCTAGTTTTGGAAATATCGATGATAACGTTCATGTGTAAAACTAAACACTGTTTTGGGTATAACCGCAACTCGAAAAGAACTGCTTGCTTGTTGTATACAATATATAAATACTGTTAAAATAGTTTGTGAATTATAATTATTATAAGTTAGATTGTGAAAATTTTAAGGTTGAAAATAGCTTAGTGATAGCTGAAATTGTTTGAAGCTAGATCTTAAATGAGCCGATACCGAAAATAGCAAAATGTATTGTACCTTTTTATCAGGTTGCGTCTATTAGTTAATCTACTAAACGTTCTTGCTAGTGGTATACACTTTACTGTCTATAATAATCTATATGATAAGGGTTTTAAACCCTCAAAAGGATTGTATTGATGGCATTTTGTAATACCATTATGTTTTATTTAGGCTAGAGTATGTATTTGAGTAATCCGCTTACATTCATAATGTTCAGCAACTCCCCATAGGGAAGATGCGCTACAATATTTTATCTATGCCAGTTCAACGACGGTACACGATTATTCATTAAATATAATCCAATTATTCTAATATATTTTTTTTTTGGTTGATTTTTCTGGTACCAAGTGATTGCAATTTTCTAGTATTTTGTTTTATAACTTGATTATGTTAAGATTAATAATTTTTTATTACATCTAGGCATTTAGTTTTCTTATATTTAATTTTTAGTATTATATTAAAATAAGAATAATAGCGACTTGATAGCCAACTTTTAATAATATTTGATTTTAAAAAGTTCCCCTCCAAAACACTGTTTAACAAAATATTTTTAGCTTGAACAATGCAATTTTTTTCGTAATATATTGTTTTAATTATTTTATATAAAACTGTTTTAGCTAAATAATGGTTTTATAAAAAATATAATAATAAAATGCTGAAAACACTGTATCTACTAGGTGATTTATTAAGGACAAGATACGTTTTTATTTAAAAATAATTGCAGTTTCGTAGTTTGTCTTTTTGGAGACATTTTATTTTATGTTATTTTACAATTTAGACTATATAGGTTTACATTTTAGTATTTTTTATATTTTCTAGAGCTCTATCAAAAGAGTTTAAAGTTAATAGAGCTTTGAAAAATACTTAAATAGATAGATATTTATTAGTTTTTTATTGTTGTAAAATAACATAAAAAATTATTTAATAAAAACCTAACACTATAACATTTTCCAAATTACAGACTTACTCGAACCCTTTAAAATCACAACTATGCCCTCCCTCCTCATATTATATCTTTATTTGTTTTGTATTTATAAATGTTCTTTATATATAAATTTCTTCTGTCCGTGTGTAAGTATGCAAACTCCTCCTAAACGGCTAGACAGATTTTTATGAAATTTTGCGTGCGCGATTAAGTTGATTCGAAAAAGGTTTAGATTCACAATTTGATCCGATAGAAGATGTTTTTAATTTTTAATTAATAAAAATGATTAATTATGTTTATCAATAGTATCAATAGCTATCAATACATCTCTACGGGTTTTCATACCACAGGGATATAGTGATCCGATCAGCTGATTGTGTGTCCATTATAATATAGGAAGACTAAGGGAATAAAATAAAAACCTGAACAAATTAGAGGAATATTTTTTTCAATATTTTGGGCCGAATGACGGCCATCCAACGCCATGTCAAGCTATTCGCTTTATAGCTAGTCGCTATTAAGTCGCTACTACCCTAATATACACGCATTAATATGTATGTAAAACAGGGTTTTGCATCCATGTGTTTAAGATGAAGCGAAACGTTTCAATCCTACTTATGTATGAAGTATTAATTAAATAAATGAATAATTAATATTCTAGAAGAACTACTAATATTAAATACATGTTGGTCATAAATTTTTTATATTTTATTCAGCGTGTCAGTATAAATATTGACACGTATTTATTAATCTCTCGTATTTATCATTAAACACGTACATGCATATGAACGGGAACAGGATATCCTATGATAATTTAGCCATTGCAGTATTACCTTGGTAAATAAAGTTACAAAAATGTAATTTAATGTTTAATTTGTATAAAACATATTTTATTTAAAAGCATGTTTGAGTAGATGTTGAATCAACCAGAAAATAGGACCACAGTAGAAGTTGTTGAAACAGCGGAAAAATTATTGGATAACCCAACGATATAAGATATAGAAATGGGAATAGAAATGCTTAAAAATGGAAAGGCCCCTGGGGTTGATAAAGTAGTTCCTGAATGCTTAAAGAAAGGAGGAAAAAAGCAGATTCAAAAACTTCATAAACTAATCATTGATGTAGAGGAGTAGGAGGAGATTCCAGAACCATGGAGGATGTCTACCCCATGCCTGGTATAAAAAAAGGGAGATAAAATGAACCAAAAAAACTATAGGGGAATTTCTATGTTAAACACTTCGTACAAACTATTATCTAACATCTTATTAAACAGATAAAACCTATTTATTAAAGAAATTATTGGAGACTACCAGGCAGGACTCATGGTAGGTAAATCGACTATAGATCAGATTCATATCATAAAACAAGTAGCAGAAAAAAGGCCTAAGTAGGTAAGGAAAGGAATTGGTCTTAACATAAGTGAAGAGAAAACTAAATACTACCGGAAAACATCACAAGGAAAGAAAATTATAAGTAGAAGGGTTTTAATTTGAAAGGGTAGAACATTTCAAATACCTTAGAGCATGGGTTGATGAAAACGCGAATAGTCATGAAAAAATAAGAGAAAAATTGATAACAGTAATTGGTGGATCCAGCCTATATTAACGAGAGAAGTGAATTAGAATAAAATGAAATTTATAATTTATAGGAGGAGGAGTGGCCAAGTGGGTAAGGCGTATTTGGTGCTGGCTGTTGCCGGTTCGACACTAGGTTACGGTGTTCCATTTGCCAGGCGAGAAATCGTCAGGTAAAAAGAAGCCGCCATCCCCTCTCTGACAAAAGACTAACGACCATACATTTTTTCATTAGTAAAATAATAATAATATTATTTGGAAGTCTCCGGTGGTTTCCAAACAGTTGTTGCTTAACTGAATCATTAATCTAAGATTTTGGATTTAAAACAAATAATTAAATTTAGACGATTTTGTAACTTCTCTATAATACGAGTATTCTCTATAATATTTCTAATGTTAATTTACGTCAATATATTTTTTTATATAATTTTGCGAGCGTATACTCTTTGTAAATTAGTAAGAACAGCGTCAACACCCAAAACACTCTAATCTGCTTTGCAATTTTCTATTACTGGTTTACTCTGGCGTGTACATATAAGATGCCATGTGTGTATCCAACGTGCTGGTTTTCTACCAGTAAAACAAAAATTAACACTTAAATTTTACGACTTGTCGCAATATTACAACAACAGTCATAATACAGGGTGGGGCGCGGTTACTTCCTTATTTGCAACTCGCCATAAAGCGACCGTTACTCCTAGAGCGATGGGATGTGACACGTTTGAAAGCGCGGGATCTAACGTTTTTTATGGTTAATTTAGTGTTAATCATGCAGTGGACAAAAGAGGAGCGCGCGTTCACCGCGGGGGCCTACTTTTCCTTTGGCCGTTTGGTCATCGCAACTCAGCGTGCATTCAGGAAACAGTTCAATATCGCGCCTGCACATCCACCTGCATGATGGAAAAGTTTTTTCTACACAAACTCGAATAAATGGATGTGGGGGAAGTGTGGTTCCAACAGGATGATGCCATGACTCATATGGCATGAACGTCAATGAATATCTTGCGGGAACACTTCCCCAAACAGCTCATCTCTCTTAGGAGCTATCTTCAGTGGACAGCGCAATCACCAGATATAGCCCCCTGTGACTTTTTTCTGTG